AATCTTCGGCATCCCTACCTGTTCAACACACCCTGTAACAAATCTCAAGAAGCTCTCAACAAGGACAAAGACTAGAGAGGGAGGGAACCACTGCCACCAGTCCTGCCTGCCCAATTCTGTCTGGCACAGGCCCCAGGGCAACAAGCACAGGAGGACTATGGAGACAGTGGCAGCAGGGAGCCACGCAGTTAAGTAAAATTAAGACCGGGCAGTTGTTCTTTTGGCCCATCGACAAAACAGAGGGCTTGAGGACTATTTTGGAGCAGGAGGCTGTGAGGTGAATTAATGTCAAAGCCTCAGTAGGGTCACATTCCAGCTTCTACTGGATCTGGCTAAGAAGTTGTTTTGTGTGTTTCACCAGCAACTTACTGAAACATGTGGCATAAACACACAAGATTTGAGGAAATGACGGTATCATCATTTTTGGAAGTATTATTATTACGGATTAGAAATGTAAACACTGTTCTGTCAACAGTGTTTATGACTTATCTGTTATCTGAATTTACCCTACTGTTTTCTGCTCCACGCAACACAGATATAGTTTAAGAGCATAGTAACATGCATTTATACTTAATGATTTTATTTCTGGGGAGGACTTCTGTAAGAAATACAGATTCACTGCAAGACACTCCTTGATCCCAATGATGTTAAGAAAGAAAGTGGACAGTTATGACTTCACAAAAGAAATCAGTCATAATGTGGTTTCAGAGATGCCAGGTATAACACCTGCCAAAGCCAGCCTATGCTCTGAAAGTTATTCTAAGCAACTAGCCAAAGATCTCGCAGCAAGACAGCTGTTGATTACAAGGCACATCTAGATCTCCAGGCTTTCAGGTTTACACTCCATCCACTCAATCATGCATGCAATATCCAGACCCAAACTGGTTTTACTTTGATCTCGAAAAAAAAATAACCAACAATCTTCAGAACCTTTCCTTTCCATTCTGTTCAACTTCATGCATACTTAAAATGGAAATGAGCACCTTCAAATTAAACTAAGTGGGGGGAAAAATATGCATTAGACAAAATGAATTTTTTGCCAGCTGTGAGTGTTGTTTTTACAATTCATTTTGGACACAGAGTTCAGCACAGACGGCAAAATAATTTCAGTCCTTCAAGGAACTCATTTAATGTATCCTAATTACTAGACATAAAATTCAGCACACAGTAGCTGTGCAAAATTGCTAATATAATAAAACATACTCCAATATCTTCCATCTGAACACTTATTCCATTTAAACAGGGAACTGAGCACACCTAAATTAACCTCCTACTCTGCATATTCACATGCCTCTGAAAACACATACTTTTCCAAAGGGCAGGGTACTGACTGGTTCTATTGAAAACTGTTTAGCAAGAGAAGGAGCTGACTGGCTTCTAAAACGCGCTGTCCTTCAACAGTACCGTGTCGCCTCGGGGCTGCTCCCAGCTTCTACTTGACCATGTGTGGGTGGGGGTACCCAGTTTCTTCCACAAACCAACAAAAAGCAAAATCCAGGAGCAGCGGTCCCCACCTGTTTTAGAACATCAGCTAACCTCCCATCAGGGGCTGTTAGGAAGAGACTTCCCCGAGGGGGCTAGTTATCCAGTAATTCTATATGGCAGGGTTATTCCAACATACCTCCACAACAGCTGGTACTGCAGTGTCAACAGCAGGATTAGACTGACCCGTAGCTTGATTTGAAGGGTCAGCTACACCGGCAACACATTAACGATTTTGGCACATACACAGGTGTAACCACTCCATTTACATTAATGCAATGTTGTTCTAGCACCTGCAGCACTTGCACTTGACAGCTGTTTGCGGATCAGGCCCATGCCGTTTTAATTTTCAATAACAGGTACAATCAATATAGCCGCACGCGAGCTAGTTTGAGATTAAAAGAAACCACTAGTAAATTGTACTTCTCTAACCAGCATCTCATTCCACCCAAGAAAGCTTGATTTTGCCATATTTAAAAAAATGAAAGCACCCAGCTTAGGCTGAACGTGGGAGAATGTGCTGATTTGAAGGCAGAAGAGATGGATGCGCTCTGCTTCCAGAACCACTTCTTGTGACTTCAGTAGCAGTGTCTAACTGAACTCAAGGAAGTTAGAAGGTGGCATTCAAGTATCTTCCATTTCCCTTCAAATAAGTAATGTACAGTCTGAGCTTTGTCATCTTTAAACTGGGTGATGTGTTGTCCAAATATAAATCCAGACAGTTTCTGTGCTGCACTGAGCTCCCACTCGAAAGAAGCAAAGCAACAGCAACTGACATATATCTTTAAAACACGTAGGTGGTTCTGCTTATTCCCCGTTCCTCCCTTTCTGCCCCTGTGATGCTCCCCTACTGCTACTTCCTGCATCAAGACTTCAAAATCCACCTACACTGGCAGTGGACGAGGAGAGGCAACGATGACAATTTCAAGGAAAAGATACAAGGCTCCCAATAAATGTTAGCCCTTCTGTACTTCACGCACCTTCCAGCCCAGTGCTCTGCCCACCACCCAGGCATCTGGCCTGCTGTCATCAGGAAAAGCTCTTCTAAAACAGGAATACATCTACTTTTAAGTTCTGCTGAAAAGATTTTATTTTTTGCAAGAAACCTCCCATGGAAGAAAACAAAGCCAGAGGTGACATGGAGCATCATTGTGATTAACCGTGGTTTCCTGTTAAAAGTTACTAACTTGTATTTTTTTAGAGCCAAGGAGTCACAGAGCAAGATCTCCACTGTACTTGCCCATTGAGTTTCTGCCCAGTTGGCTCCTTTCGATATGGCCCTGCTGTAGGAGGAACTGGGTGTGTAAGCTAACTATACAGGATCTATCACAGTAGCATTGTCTCTTGCACTACAGCCATAATTACAAAGCCTATTGCAGAGCCACACAAGGTATCTGCAATAAAAACCAGGATGGGCAGATTTCTCATTGGAGATGCAGTGGAAAAAATAAAATAAAGTCTTACCTTCCCTTGCTCCCTGACATTTCAGGGGTCTGCTCAGAGCTGAGGAAACCCCCCAGTGCCTTAGCAGAGTAGTACTAACAGCTGCTGCTACAGCAAGACCCAAGAACCAAGGATGCTACCATAGTGCCAAGGAGCATAAAGAACATAGACACAGGCTGTCCGCTTGATTAGCGGAGCCTATATGCCCAGTCTCTGCCTACACTGAGAAAAAACACACCCCAAGAAGTAGCAGTCCTCCTTTTGGGGGGAAAAAAAGCAGCATGAGAAGGAAGGAAAAGGTCATATTTGGCAAAACTAACCAGAAAGGAGTTTTTACCTGCATGCTATTCCAATGCAAGATGTACCATATCTCAGCCTTGATGCCTATTGCTTCCTGCTAACAGGAAAATGTAAATTTACCCTGTTCCCTGGGCCTGATAGCAAGCACTGTCTCCAAGCCAATGTAAACAGCACAAGGCAAGAGGAAAACCACCTCACTTATTACCCCCAGGACACTAAGCATATTTGGAGCATCAAGCAACAATGGGCTCCCTACAGCTGAGAAGCCATTTTGCTTTCCTCTTCACTTTATTTTTAAGAGGGCTTTTTTTTTTTTTTTTTAATGCCACCCAAAATTTCAAGATCACCTGACATTCTGCTGAGATTTACAGCTTGGAGTCCTTGTTCTGGAATCCTTCCCTACCTGCAGCATTTGTAAGTGAATTGCCGACCTACTGAGCTATTCATGCCTTGAAAGGCCCCAAACCTTCTGCTCTTACTTCCTGTAAATTCATGCACTTCTTTCTGTAACTTTAGATGAAGACTTACTACCTTGTAGACTTTTATTCACCAATTCTCTAATTCCATCTTCTTATTCCTTTCCTCACCCTCCAAGATTTCCCTATGCATAAATCAACTTTATTTAGATAAATCAAAGGAGAGAACAGAAAACCAGCTAAAACCTTACCAGTAGGTTAGGTTTGGTGGTTTTGTTTGTGTTAAACAAAAGTATTAATTAGTTTGTGAAATTCGTAATACTCTTAGTAAAAAGACAAAGCTACTGATGAATCAATTTTATTAGCCATTACAGTATCTTCTTTAAAAATGAATATTCTAGACCATAAAGCCCAAACTCAAAAAAACCTGAACAGAACACTGCAAGGAACAGAAGGAACAATCAATGGGTGAAAGGACAGGAATGAAGGTGCTAAGAGAGAGGAGATCTGAAAAGTGAATTATCTTGCTCTCTAAAGAAGCATTTTCACGGGAATTTGTTTGACATTTAGGAAGCATGACAGCTACTGCTATGGCAATAAGCAATAGTCCAGGTTTTCAAGAAAAAAAAAAAAAAGAAGGCAGAGTTGGTATAGAAAGACTAAGGACTAAAGTGACTCAAGCCATACCCTTTTGTTTCATGGCATGAAATCCACATTTTCTTTTCGAATTGTCACACACTGGTACGAGGTTATCACACTATCACAGCATGGAGACAAAACAAAATTAGATCCACAATCTGTTTTTTGGACATAAGCGAGTGGGTAATAAGTTTCTGCTCTCAAATATGAAATCAGTCATTGTGACTTCATCTGTAAGGCAAGCTTTTTCTATTAAGAAACTCTGAATGGTTCAGTGTGCAGCGGAGACCAGTAACTCCAGACTGACCCAGTGTATTTCAGCATCATGGTAGGATGACAGAAGACATGTTACAGCTGACTCTTTCAAGATCAAGCCAGAAAGAACAAGGGCATTTTACATAATAAACTGTCATCTCAGCTTTATCCAAAATACTTTATAAGCAAGAAGTTCATTGTGTATATACTATACAAAATTATCACCCAAGGGCAGAAGGCAGAGGAACAAAATTGTCCAACAGCCTCAGTGACCCCCCAGCAACCAGGTTTTGAAGATGTTTTAACAGGATGTGGGGAGAAGCTCTTTAAAAAGGACAAAAGGGCAATGGAGCAGAAGAGAAGAAAAAGAAAGAGAAGGCCCCTACAGACACAGCTCACCAGCATGTGCCTACACCTTGGTGCTTCAGAAGAACCACCACAGTTGTTCCTGAGGACAGTACTTACTTCCTGGCAGTACTGGAGAATCCCTTCCTTTGTCCCAATGCAAGTCTTGGCACCGGAGGGGTCCGATTCCCACTTTCCATTCTGCACATTCATGTGCATGTTGAGTTTCCCACAGAACATAGCGATTTGAGGCTCTGCCAACAACCCAGCATTTCCATCAGCAGGCACCTGGGAGGAGAAAAAAAGAAGTTTTAATCTCATGTCTGACAGATGAGTCCATCCAAAGCAAGAACAGCTCAAGCAAGCCTGAACCAAACTCTAGGCTTATCCACCCATGGCAGCAAAAGCTGAAGTTGTTTGATTCAAGCAGATATGAGAAGTGTAAATAAGGTCTTAATAGAAATCCAGAACACAACAGTGTAGCACAGAGTTTAAAGCTGTGAACAAACTCTGCTGGGGCACCAAATGATCACCTTATCGACTTGAGCTAAACAGAACAACATGCATAGGTGAAGCATGACAACAAAAATTTAATTTTCCAAACTCTCGTGGTTTGGCCTCAGCCAGCAACAAAGAACCACACAGCTGCTCACTCAACTCCCACAGCTGTGGGAGAAACTGACAGAGAAAGGCAAAACTTGTGGGTTGAAATAGTGCAATTTATCAGAACAGCAAAAGGGAAGAGGAAAAAAAAAACAACAGGAACACCAATAAAGGGATATAAAGTCATGATTACAGTACTGCCTCGCACGGACCAGATGCAGACCGCCACAGCCCACCCCCAAGTGGTGACTGCTCTCCCCTCCCCGACTAGCGCCTACAAAGATTGAGAGGCCATTAAATAAAAATTGCCAATGTGACTAAAATAGCTGTTACACTAATGTGGAAAACTGACCAGATGGAAACATCTTGCTCTTTTGATCAATAGCAATTTCCCCTACAGTGTTTACACATGGTGGTTTGGTGTTGGGTTTTCTCAAAAGTTTCAAAAAAAAAAAAAAACAACCCCCACCCAAAAACCAAAACCAACCACAAAACCCCAAACAACAAAACAAAACAAAAAAAACCCAGACCCCCTCACAGTGTTTCTTTTTTCAAAACCCTCTCTAGTTCATCAAGATGTCGAGCACACACAGTCTGTATTTTGTAATGACTTATAAAGGTGGTGGGATTAAAAACAATGGCTCCCACCTAAGCTTTCGTCTGAACCTTAAAACACAGTGCCTGGGGTGCTATCTAAATGGGATTGCTCACAGCAAAGCACTACAGAAAACCACCTACCCAAACAAGCATTAAAATACCCAGGGCTTACTGCAGGCTACCCGAAGAGCTCCTGGTGGTTCCCAGCCAGCCAGCAGGCTGGCTGGCCACCACCTCCCTCCGTGGAACACCTGATTGCCAGCCAGGGTACGAAGCCAAACCTCAGAGCTGCCCTCAACAATTTCCCAATTAAATGCAATTCTGGGACACCTGTGAACTTCTGACCTGCATTTATAACCCACCTTAACCCTCCTCCCCCACAAACCTCAACATTGGTTTAAATCCCTCCCATGGGACCCCACCATGAAGGCAAATTAACAGCTCTGCCTTTCGGCCCTCTGCCCTCCGATGTAGCCAGCCTCCGGAGGTGTAAGCTGAAAGTACGCACTCCAGTTTTACCACCTGAGAAACACAATGGAAAGATAAGTCTCCCCTTCAGGTTTGGTTCCTCAAGAGAAGTCAATGGCTCTCCACTGCCCCTCACGCTCCAAAGGTGAGCCCATCACATTCAAGGTACAACAGAGCATGCAATTACATTAAAATATATTTTTTTTTAATCTTCTAGCTAGAAGGTTTCTCAAGGGAAAAATTAAAAACATCTTAAAAATTCATGGAAAAACTGAGGAAACAGAATTACTGTCTTACAAGAGGTATGCAAACCCCATATCTTAGTTCCCCCACTCTTTGTTTAAACAAACAAAAAAACTTCATTAATTTTGCATCCCTACAGTAATAAAAAGGTATCACACCATGAAACATTGCAGGAGTCAACATCCAACTACCCTAACACATTAGCTTAGCATTTTAAGTTAAAATGCCACAATTAAAACAAGTTTGGGTTTTTTTCTTTTTTGAAAAGGAGAGAACATTTATTTTCCTGCCTTCTTTAAGGTGTTAACATGTTAGCACAGTTTAACTTCAAAAAAATAAAGCAGAAACACTTCTTCTGACAGAGATTTCCCTTTACTATCTCCATTTCTCTTCTTCTGTGGAACTAGTAAGCTCTGTACGATTTAACAGTCAACCATCACTGTCTTTCCCCGGGGTAATTAGAGAATTTTCCAATAACTGGGATGACACCTTGTCTGGCTTGCCTTGATCAGTAAAACTACCACATGCTTACTCCTTCTAACATCTTCAGAAACTCTGGAGAGCGTCTCAAATGTGACACATCTATAACAAACACTTGCAAAAAATCCTCCCAATTAATGATTTTTTTCTCTTTATAGATGTAACACAACCCTATCAAAATTTCAATAAAAATAGAAGTGAGTCATTTCACAGGTGACGTGTGAATGTGAACTCTATTCACAGTCACCTCCTTTAACTGAGATCTCTATTAAATTAAGAAAGCACACAGCGGTCATGCTGTAGCAGTTTTAAATTTTTTTAAATCATAAGTTGTAAATTTATGGAGGCTGTGTCTTGTGGCTTTATAATACGGAGCGTTTGGGTATTTTTTGCCTTAGCTAGGAAGACAGCTAAAGTTGGGGAAAAACAAATGTGGCTGCGACTTGGAGTGCTATCAACTTAACTCTAACAACATGACAACCTATGACTGTCTACTTAAAATCTCATTCCCTTCAGAAAAGACATGACATCTCCCAGCTTAATGAAATTACCAGAGCAAGTCATGATCACATTTAGCTTTCTCTATTTTGAGCTGACAGGGCCATACTAACGAACTGCTCAGCACAGCACTTCATCTTATTGATTAGGACAGCTAAATGTTTCTAATCATAAAGAAATACCGGTGCAATTAACAGACACTGTAAACAGAACTAAAGCATTTAGATGATGATCATGAATAATTCAGATACTCAACTTCCCAAGTTGAACTCTGCTAGAGTGTCCTTAAAGCAAGGATAGTAGGTTAATGGATTTGTCTGCTACATCTCCGGCTAAGATGTAACACTGAGCTTTCAAATTAACTTTTTGTAAACAACCAGAGTGGAAATAACACCTTTTTAAACCTTTTAGATCAGGGGGTGGGGGGAGACACATTAAATTATTTAATAGCTGAAGATAAGTGGTTGCTACCATTGTATAGCCCTGGTGTTTTAACTCAAAGCCTCTCACCTTTAGTAATAAGCAGGAATTTTATACATTGCATTTTCAGCACGGTACCTATGAAACTTGAAGCACCGGTGCAAAGTTTTAACAGGAGAACAGACTCATTGTTGAGATAGCCTTTGTGCTGTCTTCCTGCTCCTTCTATAAAATATGCCTCTAATCCAAGATTTTTGCTATTTGATATTCCATTTCTGAAGAAAAAAAGAAGTTGATCTGCTATGGCGCTTTTCCTGATTGAAAACTGGCAGCTTCCTGCCTGTCAAGAAATTACTCTTGCTGCACAATTCACAGAAACAGCCGATGTTGATGGAAGCTTTTCTGTAGAGATAATCATGAAAACACAACAGTCAAGCCTCGGAGCATATTTTGACACGAGGGCAAAGGAGGGGATCATTACCAGATCTAACTTTGGCCTTACACATCCTAGATTTAGGGCTTCTGCTGGGACTCTTGACAACACCTGAGTGAGATGCTCCCATTAAAAGTGTGCGACTAAAAGATTTCCCTTCACGCCATTTTGCAAGCATATGCTTCACAGCATTGTTGCTTCCACTTTCCCAAGAGCGAACGTGTCACAAACACAGTGATTGACAGTGATTCTAACATTAAAAAAAGGAAAACATGTAAATTTTTCACATCATTGGCTAAAAACCTGCAGCTACTGCATTAAGATATATACTGCACTCTACTCTTCTACATGCTGTTTTCCTCTGCAATCATTCGGACTACAACAAAATTCACAAAAAAAAGCCTCAAATCCATAAAGCTAAAAATCCATTCTTTGTCCAAAATAATTATGCTAAAAAATAAAGAATACTTCTGTTGTGACATTTTCTGGTTTCTTCCCATTTCTCTATGCAGCCTTCCATGGCAAGCCTATATAACACGCAGACTTTTGTTAATTTTACTGAACAGAGTGAAGCAGCAAATGAAAACTTGTTAGCAAGATGCACTGCGCTGCCCCTCTTGCCAGAGCCCCACCACTGAACACAAGAGCATTCCCAAGGCACCCGCTGAAAAGGGTGCCTGGAAGACATCAGTTCTCGTAGCCTTGGTTTTATGGGATCTATTTTAATCCAGGACACATTCCTAAATAAAGAACAGTAAGTTTAAGCAATTAATTCAAGAAAGCATTGTTGCCGTTTAGTTTTATAAGGCTGATGGATACGAGAGGAGAAAATGAGACACGTGAAGCCTCTCAGGCATCTCTGGTCTGGACTGGCACTGGTGGGGGTCTCCGACACTTGCTGCTTGTGCCTCCTCTCTAACCTGGGGATCTCTCCCACCTACACAAATCCCAGTTTTATAAACACTTCAGTAGTTCCTTATGTTCTAAAAGCTCATTATGACAAGTAATCCTGAGCTGATAAGGCCTGCATGCCAATTTCCAACCTCACATCGTAATTCTACTCACGTGTTCAGTGTGGCATCTATTAGTAGGAAAAAGCACAAAAACCAGTAAGCAAGGGACAGACAGTCTAACGAAAGTACTGCATACCATTTCACCTCTCTTGCAAACATTCAGAACGTTCACCTCCAACATGCTCACCTGCCTGTCTTCTGGGTTTACAGTTATCTTCCACCTCCAGCTCTTACAGTGGCCTCTGCCACAGGCTTTTGTACCTCTCAGAGTCAACAGCTCGGAAGACTATTCATTGAAAATTTTTCCAGCTGATGTACTTCAAGTACCTCGAGGCTATGCTGCCATTTGAAGACTAAACTTTACCCAACACTGAAACTACATTTTCACTAGGACAATGCTAGAAAAGCTTTCCAGGGAATGAAAGGTGTGCTAAAAACTGCTGGTGAGTCTACCCTGAGATCTCCAGGTAAGTGACTAAAAGCACTTAGGTATTGCATGTCACACCAAGAGAAAGAACCAACTTTCTCTT